GTTTCTAGTGCCGAGTATAGGTAGAGCATAAGAGGATGCTTACCTCGGAGAAAAAATGGAGCATAAGTCGGTTGAAGAGTAAACCGAAGATGACGTGAAGAAGATTCACGCGTAAGACGTCATGGATGGAGACATTATGGTGATCAAAGGGAGACACCAAACACAGAAGGAGGATGCTTACCTCAGAGAAAAATGGAGCATAAGCCGGTTGCAAAGATAACCGAAGAAGACGTGAAGGAGATCACGCACAGATTTGGTGATCAAGAGGACACCAAAAGGAAATAACGAAGGAAGAAGAAGTAGTGTGAAGAGAAGTAACACTGTGAAGAGAAGCAACACACGTCAACAAGAAGTTGGAGTTTGATATCATAAAAAAAAAAATTGGTTTTAGACCATAACTCAATTAAGGGGGAATGATGGTTTATAATTGAGTTTGGTCTTATTATTATTATTTCATATAATTAGATAACTATTGTGTGTGTAATTAAGTGAAGAGGTGTGTATTAATGGGTACACATGAAAGGGTGTATACGTTATATTGTTGCGTTGGTTCGTGACTTGTTGTGAACGGTTGCGACCGTGTACGTAAGACATGTATATATAAGTGTATGTGTTCTTGTAATAAGTTAACAAGTTTCACTATAATAAAAATTCAGTTTCTGTTCTTGTCTTTTACAAGAGAAGAGACAAAAGTCTCTTACTCTGTTTTTTCTTCTTCTCTCTCAAATATTCCAACATCATCATCATCCCCACTTAGTAGTACCTTTATCATCATCATCCGTTTTTTTCTTTCTCGTCACTACTCTGATTCCATCTCACTTAAAATTACACACTGCATGACAAGAGACCCTTCAAGTGCATATACCTGAAATAGTTATAGAGAGCATATTGTGCTGAATCATACCTAAAGTAAATAAATAAATAAACAAACTTTGAAAGATTTGGACACTATCAGAACAAATAAAGCACACCATTACTAAAACATTAAGAGGTGGAGGTGCCAAGTCATGCTACTATTATTATTAAGCAATTCATGCTCCTGAACATTTTAAGCACAAAAGTAGATAATCAGTATAAAGCAAGGAGAAGAGGGCATCACGAAGAGGGACAATGAGCACAAAAAGAAATACATTGCTTGGAAATTTGGAATATCTGCCCAAAGACAACCAAGTTGCAAGTCCTTCTGGAGCTGACATTGACCTCAAACTTTAGTGGATAGGTGTTCTCGGGTGGATTATAGGGAAAAGAGACAACTTTGTAGGCTGAGTTCCGAGTGTTCTTTTGCTGGAGACACATGTGGGTTTAAGACATTTACATCGTCAGAGGTCTTATGTAAAGAAAGGAGAATAATTTGGAGATGAAAGAAAGTAACTTTGAGGCAGATCCATAATTAGAGGCAGAGCACTAGCCAAAACCGCCTGAAATAAACATCAGAGTAGCTGAGTAATCTGGGATCACCATTTACCACCACGACTATAGATGCAGCAAAGGCTAGGACCAAGGCGAAGTATTGGCTATTTTACAAGGAAACAACGGCTCTTCTGTTTCGAGCAGATACCAAGCTTCTCAAGAGATGACAATGCAAGTCCCAAGCCCTCTGCTTTAGAGATCATACCAGATTTTTCACCGTTCCTCAGCAATTTTCCCTGCTCTAGTTTTCCCAAAACGTTCATGATGTTTACTTCCTTGCTATTTAATTCAGTGATCACAATCACACAAATTAAACGCATACATATATATATACTATACAGATTGTACCAGTGATGAATCAAAATATTGTTATGGTTTCAACATAAAAAGATGTATACAGATCAATGTTCATCAGTCCTTTAAAGTATTTGAGAATCTGGAGAGTAAGGAAACAGAAATTAAACTGATACTTTGTTTACTTAAACCAGAGAAGAAGTCAACTTGTTCATGTCTGACACTAAATAGATATAATAATTTTGTTCATCTCAGACCCACAAAAGGTTCATAGTTTATGAAGCTTTAACGGTGATTCATTGAGAGGGCAGAAGATGGCAGAACTTAAACACATAATGGAAAGGAGAAGCAAGATAGAAACACAAATTTTTAATTTCTTTCCACTTTTGTTATTGAAGTTAATAACCCCACTACATCCCAGAAGATTGTACAAGAAGAGAAGAAGTAATAACCCCACTACATCCCAGAAGATTGTACAAGAAGAGAAGAAGTAATAACCCCACTACATCCCAGAAGATTGTACAAGAAGAGAAGAAAGTAACTATAAGTATCAGGACAACCTACATCAGACTGTCAAACTTAGAGAGTTCCAGACATTGATCCTTGCCCTGCCCTGCCAGCTACCTGCAGCAGTTTTTTAAGGAATTAGATAACCTAACATTTGAGGTTCTAAGATGGCTTTCCACTAGTCAGAGAGATTCTCCACTGAAACTAGCATAAATTCATCTACTAATCTCCTAAAATCTTTATCCAATTAGCTTCACCCGAAAGTGTTCCCGGACTGCATGCATACATCCGTAAGTAACTTAGTGCAACATGGCAAAAGAATATACCTTTGACCTTGCCAAACTCACGTAGATAAACCTGCCATCAATGACCTTGCCATTTAAAACTGTAGCATTTGATGCCGCTTCTGGAGTGACAAACTCCACAAAGCCGTCCCCTTTACTCTTTCCAGTATTCGGATCTCTCCTGATTTTACAAGAAGACACCTCTCCAAATTGTGCAAACATATCTTTTAAACCGGCTTCAGTAAGCTCGTATCTGAAATTACCCACGTAACAGATAACTTCTCTCTGGAGTCCTTCTCTTATTTCTTCACGGCGATGACTATTCCTGTGTTGGACTTCCCACACTCTACCCTCAAACTTGTAGCCATTCAAAGAATTAATTGCCTGCGCTGCACTTTCTGCATGCCTAAATGTGACAAACCCAAAGCCTCTCGAAGAACCATCAGCTGTTTTGATTATTGAAACATGCTCTAAATCTCCATGAGCTCTAAACAGCATATTCAACTGTCCCTCAGTTGTTGTAGTGGAAAGATTTCCTACGTATACGTCTCTCATTTCAATATTTCTGCATCAAAGTTAGAATGAGAACGAAAACGATAAGTCCTACATCTTGTATAGACAATGACATGATAGACTGTAAATTACATTAAAGTAACTAACATTTGAAAGTCTTGAGAGGTTGGCCCTTGCTGTGGCATGTAAGCAGCTCCTGGATACCTGCGTTGCAAAGTTACAGTAGGGACAAAATATGATGATTGTTATTCTCTTCTTATAAAAACCAGATACAAAAACAGTCATCACATTATTTATTCATGCCTTTAAACACACACGGACATCTTCTATAACATTATTTTAACTTACAATTGATAAGTCGTGTTCTGGTATGGCACAGGTCCTTGTAATACAGGATTTCTACAGAATAAGAAAAATATATGAGCTTAGAAGCATCAAATTTCGTGATTCTCATCATGCATTCAAAGAAGAAGACAACTTATGATAGCTGATTACTAACTCTGCTTTACAATTTTCATTTGAGAGACTGATTCTTGCTAAGGCACATGGCTTTGAAATTCAGGAATTTGCAAAAAATGGAATTGATGATTCTTACTCCGATTTTATCAAAAACAGATACACACAACAACCATGTCTTTTGAGTTGCATTAACTTGAGAATGATTCATTCATGCATTAAACACAGACATTTATGGATCATTCTATCATCCCTAATCAATCAGCCTAGCATTTATAAATTTACTCACATCTGAGATCCTTGCCATGGCACATGAGCTTGAGGTTCAGGGAACCTTCATAAATAAAAAATATGATGATTGTTATTCTCTTCTTATAAAAACCAGATACAAAAACAGTCATCACATTATTTATTCATGCCTTTAAACACACACGGACATCTTCTATAACATTAGTTAAAAACTTACAATTGATAAGTCGTGTTCTGGTATGGCACAGGTCCTTGTAATACAGGATTTCTACAGAAGAAGAAAAATATATAAGCTTAGAAGCATCAAATTTCATGATTCTCATCATGCATTCAAAGAAAAAGACAACTTACGATAGCTGATTACTAACTCTCGCAGGGATTTCCTGTAAGAGAATAACAGGTGATCAAAGAAAAGATTAAACAAGAACAGAGATAAAAAGGAAACAAAATAATAAAGAAAGACGCATGAAAATTATATACCTCTCGTGGAAAAGAAACTAACGACATGCGCATCTGTCCATGATCGAGGGGGAATCCACTCAGAGATACACTCATCTGGTGAGCTGCAAAAGGAGAAAGCTTCATTAAACTGTAAGTTGAAATAAGAAAAGACTTCACCAATTAGAAAACACTCACCTTCATGTTTATCAGTGAACATTAGTGTGGCTCTTCGCAGGGAATTTCCCAAGGGATCTCTGTGAAGGTTCACTGAAGTCAAAGAAGTTTCTCTCTTTCGATCAAAGCAATCAAAAATGTCCAATTCAGAGATGTGGCTATCGAATCCCCACAGAAAGACCGGAGTCTGCTCCTCCATTCTTGTGAAGTTCTTGTGTTTGTGCTCTTGGACGAGTAATTTGGAAGATGATGTGCTAGTGTTCTTGGACGAGGGAATTGAAAGATAAAAGGTGTTTGTGATCTGGGGTGAGGAAAGTGGAAGAAGCACAGAATCGTCAAAGAAGAAGCCATTGTTTTTATACTAGGCTTGAAACAAGAATCAAGAACCAAGAAATCTGATCCTCAAGATCGAAAAGAACTCTATTTCGTCTTTCAGACACAGAAGAGAAGAAGAGGTTTTATGAGATTTAGGGATTTTTCCAGCGATTGCTTTTGATTTGATATAAACGAAACGAGCTCGGGCAAAAGGGTTTTTTTCTTTTCACTAGTACGTATTATTGATGATATAGCCTTGACAGGCCAATATTACTAACAACCCAACATACACAAAAAGCCCAGAGACCCAAATTATGAACCCCTTGCTAAGTCTGACGAATAAGTTGCTTATTTTTTCATTTATTTCATCTGATATTACGCAATCAAACTTCTGTAAGCCAATTACAGAGAAAACCTTAAGATTAGGCTTCGGAAACCTAGTGATGCCTCTAAAATAACATATAAAACGGAGAGATTGCACAGCATTATACACTCGCTATCGAAACGTTTCTTCAAGTGGTACTTTTTATTTCTCTGTTCAGTGTTCATTCGTTCGATCACTGTTCAATATCCTCTATATATGTAAAGAAGTTAAGATAAAATGGCCCTTTGTTTTAAAAATGACATGCTTCTATATATTCTCTTTCTAAATGAGTACGAGGAACGTTTTTGAACCAAAGAGAACCATGTTTGTTTAAAGGAATTTTAAAAGCTACTGCTGCAGTAAAAGAAGAGATAATAGATCAAACTAGCACATAAATAGTGGTTTCGAACTGATATAACCCATACAAAATTGGACCGACTAAAATAGCTCAAAAACTTTGGAAAATGACAAATACCCATATGGTTTTTTTTTGTATTACGTAACTACCATTACTAATTAATTTTTTACAAAAAAATAGAAAAAATATAAAATACCAAAAAACAGAACTAAACCTAATTTACAGTTTACAATACAAAAAAAAATAATCCTTTCTCTCTCGTACTTCAGCCGCCTGTTGTTTTTTTTTTCTGGGTTTTTGATTGTGAAGAACAGAGAGTGGAAGGAGACGGGAAGAGGACAATATCACTTCTAGGTTTATAATCCTTTTTCTCTCGTGATCCTTTTGATTGTTTTATCGATTCTGTTTGTATTCAACTGCTACAAAATCATGGGTTCTTTGACAGGAACTTCATTCAACTTTTTCTGTAGAAAGTAGCAACCGTACTCACGAAGGAGGAAGCGGAGCTGAGAACTCGTCGGAGGAGTGGCCGAGACTGGCTGAGGTACCTTACTTTTATTGCGAAATTTCGAATTCTGATTTGATTGGGTGCGTTCACCAACCAGTTGAGTCCAACTCTTATCCCGATGGAAAGTTCTGGGCAAGAACAGTCATTTCGCATGAACCTTCCGAGTCTGATTCATTTAGTAATTTCTGGTTAGTGCTTGTGTATTTGTTCCAGATTACTGCATCTTTCATGTCTGGCTGCAGCAATCGTGCAATTAAAGGTGATATATGTTTCCCGCTTTCTGGAACTATAATATTTTGTCCAAACTGTGTAGGTTAAGGAGATACTCTCTTACTATCCAACGAATTACAAGCCGTCTGCAGTTATTCCACTCCTAGATCTTGCACAACAGCAACATGGAGGCTGGCTCCCTGTTTCAGCAATGAATGCAGTATGTTTTAGTTTAAGTATATTACAGATTTTCCCTTACTAAATGGAAGTAATTGTGAAGTTAGATTTTGCAATTATCACTTTCCGCTTTAGTTTGATTTTTGCTGTTAATTTTCTGTAATTCTTAAGTTCTTTTCTTGGAAAACAACATCCATTGAAATCTACTAGGCATAAACAATACAACAAAATTCTGCAGGTTGCTAAAGTTATAGAAGTTGCTCCTATCCGTGTTTATGAGGTTGCAACATTTTACTCAATGTTCAACAGGGCTAATGTAAGAACAACTTACCACCCATAAACTCAAGTCTCTACTGTGCTAGTCAATGCAGATAGCGCATAATCATTGTTCATATGCTCTTACAGGTTGGAAAGTATCACCTTCTAGTTTGTGGCACAACACCTTGCATGATTCGTGGTTCACGTGACATCGAATCAGCTCTGCTAGACCATTTGGGAGTGAAACGCGGTGGTATTGTTCTATTAGCAACCTTTGATTAACAAAAGAAAACAAAAGCATATGATGATGTTTAGTCATAACGATATCTGGTATTATGTTTTTCCAGAAGTCACAAAGGATGGTTTGTTTTCTGTTGGTGAGATGGAATGCATGGTATAGATTTCGCATCACCTCTCTACTTTTCGTAAATTGTAAATTGATGCAGAACAATCACCAATATTAATACTTTTGCATGAAAAGGTACAATCTACATCTCATGTGTTTGGTTTTGTTACAGGGATGTTGTGTTATTGGGTAGCCTAAGCCACCGCAGTTCCGTGATCTTGATGCATGCTAAGCAAAGTGCTGCAACGGCTATTGTTTAAGCAAGCTTGAGTTCTATATTTTGTGTTAAACGTTTTTGCACTTACCTCTTTTGAGGATGTTTTATTTTTGTCCTAGACTTCTATTATGCCTTAAACTCGATGCTAGTTCCTACAAGACCTTTTATCACCATTCTTGTTTTGATAAAAAATTCTTTGTTGAAAAACACAAATTAAATAGAAATTAATAACGCAAATGTAAACATCTAACCTTTACCGAAATCTATTTTTTTCTTATTTCAAAATTGCTAAATGTGTCATATAGTATATAGTAACCTCTAAGCTTGTCTGGAAAGGGATTTATTTGAATTTAATTTGATAGGTCCTAATCGATTTACTTTATATGTATGAAGGATGGTCTTTATGTTGTCGTAATGAAAAATAAAACATTAGGGAAACGTATGCCCAATATGATATCAGTCTCAAAGCTACATCCATGAATAATTCAACACATTTTTTTTTGGGAGTTCAACATAGATTTGGATGATTTTGTTCCAATTTGTACTGAGTTTTTGCAGGTGGAGATTAACTTTGATTGGCAAACCATCACTTGCATTGGATTCTTTACAATTAGTTCTTTACATAGACTCATATATAAAACTCTATCTCTCTCAAATCCATAGAAAAAATTTCTCAAAAACCTCCATGGCTACTTTATTTTTCAAAATCTATACTTAGCACATATTCATGATGGGTTGTGTAGTTACTTGGCCATAAAGCAACGCCATAACTCTATCACGACTATATTAGAGTTAATAGTAACATTGTAAGTCTGTCATCACCTATTAGGTTGTAAACGTAATATAAAATATTTGTAAGGGTAAAAACGACATTTTGAGTTATGATTCGCCCTAACAAAACCCTAGATACGTATAACTCTACCACGCAAATCTATCAACGTTGCAATAGAGTTACTTATGATAGAGTTACTTTACACCAGTAACTCTCTCACACAAGTATAACTCTAACAAACTTATGCTAGTCTAGTCATATTAACTCTGTTGTAACTAGATGAAAACTCTATTTTTAATTTATAACTCTCCCATCACTACAACAACTCTCCCGTCAAAGGATTGCCCTCACAAAACCTCTTTTGGACATCAAATGTCTACCGTCACAGTCCCAAACTCTATCTGATATCTATATTTACAATATAACTCTTCCTGTCTTCGACTAACTCTACAAAACTACTCTACCAGATTCCATAACTCTAAGAAAGTTTCCTCCAAAATCTACCACCATTACAGTTACTCTATGGACCAACTCTAAGTTTCACCTTACTCTGTTGCTTAACTATAACTCTCCCACCATGTATGCTAATTGTACCGAATAAGTCTATCTATCTACTTACTCTCCCACCACTATATATGACTCTACGAAACAACTATACCAAATGTGTTTCACTCTTCCACACAACTCTAAGAAATAACTTCAACTCTACCATAACTAACTCGTAGACTTATCACTTGGCGGGAATTTTTCCCCCCAAAATTGTGCAGATAAACGCCTTCTCTCTCCAACGTGGCATTTCTTATTAATGGCATGTTTGGTAATTATGTTTTTCCTGTAACTCTAACCAAAGGACAAACTTGCCTTTTTTCGTTTTGAAACTACCCCCTCCATTTCAGTACTTAACCAGTATTCACGTGCTAATCTCGCACTTTACCCGTAAAAGAATGAAAAGTTTTAAACACCGACTCAAATTACAATGATACAGTAGTATCAACATGGTTTCCGAAAAAAAAAACTAGAGAACGATATGGTTTAGTAGAAGGGATTTCGTAGATGACTTTCCGAACAGTCTTCTTCTCCAAGCTAAGATGCCAAGTGGAACCAAGTTTATATTTCGGTAGGAAAACAATATCGCCGTCATGAATGCCCATCACGGAGCCGGATATTCTCTTATAATCCCTAGTGTAACTTTGAGTCCAAGGCAAATGAAACACTTTTGACGACCATTCGTTTTCCAAGATCCAAAACTCAGCTGTGCAGTCCTTATTGACATGAGATATAAAAGCTAGCTTCCCTTGGAAGTCTATTAGCTTAGAAAACCATGAGAGACGGTCATTGCTTTTCACAAGACTGAACATTTCAGTATTCAGGTCAAAACTCACAACATGCACAGTAGTACCAGGACCGTGATGACTTGGGGTGTTTGACTCAGCTTTAAAGTATAAAACGCCGTTTATGCATATACCAGTCGCGTGGCAACACTTAACGATCCTAAGATGAGGAGGCATGCCTTGTATTTTTCTCCACATGTTACCATCTTTTCCCACCGTCATAACAAAAAACTGATACGGACGTGGTCCCACATTTGTGTTTCCACACATGCTTAATACTTTGTACTGATCAAAGATTGGGTCGTATCCTAAAATCAACTTTGTGAAGTTGTCTCTTTCCCACAACATATTGTTTTGCGGTAAGCTTAGGTTTTGTCTCGTGGCAGGGTTACATATAACATGTTGATTCTCTCCAACTGTGCACAACATCAAACCTCGGACCGGTGCACACATGAAAGAGACATCAACTCCTCCACGGAATACCATTTCCTGTCGGGTCGGGATTATAGAACAAGTCGATCGATGCGGCGCTGAGAAGAAAACAAGCGTGTTAATTTCATAGCAGTGGAAATAAAACAAGAGACGTGACCGACTCGAGGGACGAGACAAGCACGAGTCGACAAAGTTTCGACTATGGATTATCTTTGAAAACTCTTTCGACAAACACTTAAACTTCATAATGCTCTTCACGGGCATCCTTGAGAGTATCTCTATCACGAGATCCATATGGATCGAGATTCTTTCATCCTCTTCCCTCTCCATATTCTAATAAGTTAGGTTAATAACTTAGGAGACTTTCCCTTATATACACACTAGCTAGCTTGTACTAGATATACATCAATATTCTTTAAACTTATATTGCGAGATTCACATTTATCTCGACAACAATTACATACTCACAATCTTTTTTATATATATCCGCAGTTTTTTCCGTTTTATCTAATTCCATCTTTCGCAATATATTTTTTTAAAAAATATATAATTAATTTTATGCTTTTCTAAAAACACAAATCTAATGAAATTTAATAACAACATTATACCATTCCGAGGAATCTAGTCTAGATTGAGAAGTAATGTTGTATTTTTGTGATTAATAATGAAATAAAAACAAAGATATAATAGAAGCTCTGTTCACCAAGAAACATAATAAACTTTAATAATATCGTTGACAACAAAAAAAAATCTCAATATAAATATCTTTTATAATAGCCAATTTACATCAAATATGATAAAGCTATAAACAACATTACTTTCTTAATTTTTAAAAATTAATAAATATTACTGGTTTTTTTAATATGAAATCTGACATTTTTAAATAAGAGAAGAAAAAAAAAAGACGGAAAATAAAGAACATCTTCACCACTCTCTTCCATCATCAACAATTAATTTTTTAAAAAATGTCCCAAAAATGTTGACCCAAGACGAAGATGAAGAGCTTATTTTGTTCCTGGAGATGCGTCGTCAAGAGAAAAGTCACCGACCTACGCTTCTAATGAGTTCGTGTTCGTATATATATATATCAATAGTACTGTATATATTTATTTATGTGTTCATATGTTGTCGGATTTTTATCTTCTTTTTGTTCTGTTTTTCATATTTGGCAGGATCTGATCATCATAATAGTAGCACGACGGCGATGTCGTCTCAACAGTGCCCTCTCCGTAGAACTGCAGCCGATAACTTTTTGTACTCCGAGGACGAGAAGTCCGATTATGAATGGTAATGTTTATCCCACATCTTTCATTGTGATCATGATTTCTAAAAGTTCGATCATGATTTTTATAAAATCTACCATTTTTTTTTTCTTTTTGTTACATTTTGCATTAGAATATTGGGTGTAATTTCAGTAGAACAAAGATTTAACCGTAAAAGTCAATTTGATCAATTTTCTAAGACATTCTCGCCAAACTATATACTCTCATCTAGTTCAATTGAATTTGAGTTTGTAAGCATTTCTAAAACTAGTTATATATGGTTTTTAAGTTCTTATGTATAATAAGATTGGGGCCTTTTGTATGAAAATGGATTAATTTGGATAAATTATACGTGAAAAACCCATTGCACAAAAGTTTTGTGACAAAACACAAACATTTAATCACTTTTCCTGATGTTAACATATCTCAGTTACAAACATTGTAGTTTATAGTTATTTTAAGAAGTTGGATCGCTAAATCTTTTATAAAATTTTCCTTTGTCAATGTTACATTTGGCATGCCTCAAATACGGCCATGCATTAGACAGTTTATCAGCATAATTGATTTATATATTAATTTGTTGTCATTTCTGTTGATTGTTCCTGACCAGGCTGGTTACGCCACCAGGCTCACCGACTAGCAGCGTAACAAACCAACTCGAGTCACCTTATGCAGACCGGATGACTCTTATAACTAGGGTACGGACTCAGTATGTCTCGCCGATTCGATCTTGGCTTTAAAGTGTCTGCATTTGCGTTACACTCTTGCTCATCTCTGATGTTTTATATCTTCTACGTGCAGTTAGAAAGCTACAGCAGAGAAGAGAGCGAAAACGTACCATCTAAGACCCAAAAGACGTCGCTACACAGTTCCTCCTCTGTTTATGGAATCAGAAGACCCTCTTCCTCCAGTAGCTCAAGGTCAACGAGTAGACCTTCCTCACCACCCAGAAAGTCAACTCCAGCAGCCAAAAGGCCATCAACGCCGACCTCATGTGCCACCTCAACATCTGCACGTGCCACATTAACCTCGTCATCTGCTACTAATAGCTATAGATCAACGACCAGACCTTCTTCTAGTTCTGGAACCTCCTCCTCTGCTCGTTCCGCCACCTCCACCGGCCAGCAAACTACTTGTTCAGACACCTCTACTCGATCCAATAACCGGCCCATGTCGGCACCTAATTCCAAACCGGGATCGAGGTCAAGTACTCCAACTCGCCGTCCACCAACCCCGACCGGTTCATCCACTGTACTGAGAAGTAAAGCAATTAAACCGGTGAGTAAACCGGCTATGTCACAAGGAGCATCTCCGATAGTAAGATCAAGGCCATGGGAACCTTACGAGATGCCTGGATTCTCTCTAGAAGCGCCGTCGAATCTTAGAACTACGTTACCAGATAGGCCAAAAACAGCGTCAAGTAGCAGAACCAGAGCATTTGGCGCGTCTAATAGTTCAAGATCAGCGTCCATAGAACGCGAGGTTGCAAGGAGACAGTCTTGCTCGCCTTCTAGAAGCCGAGTTCCGAACGGAAACGCAAACGGTGCTGTTCCTTCGTTACGTGGACGACGAGCAAAGACTAAGAACGATGATGGTGGAATGATAAGTCATGTGGCCACGGGAAATCAAAAGGTCGAGAGAGTTGTGAATGTGAGAAAACTTGCTCCGCCGCGACAGACTGAAAGCAGCGGCCGAGGACTTAGTGGTGGTGGTGGTGGCTCCTCAGCCGGGAAGTCGAGCTCGGGATCTGATGGTTTTGGGTTTGGGAGAAACCTATCTAAAAGCTCCATCGACATGGCCTTGAGACACATGGTATGGTAACAAATGAAACGAGATTATATAAGGGACATCAAACATGCATCGTTTATACGACATTCAACTTTTATGTTTGTAATGATCTCTCTATGTGATAATAGGATGTTAGACGTCGAGGAAGCATGGCAGGGAATTTCCGACCGTCAGTGACGAAAGTACCAGCGACTTCATTGTACAGTATGACATCATATAGAAACCGGCCGGTGAGCAGCAGCGGGAGCTCGGAATCGAGTGTCAACGTATTGTGCTTAGAGGGTAGCGACGATAATCTCAGCGACATAAGTTACTCTTAAAGTTACCCGTGAATCTCTCTGTAAGATTCGAATTATGAAAGGTCTTTAAGAGGCTCGCGAATGGTCATAAATTTTTGGTTTATATATGGATTTTGGACATAAAAGCAAATTGTGTTCTGACTAATAATGAAGATACAGATGGTATAGAATAGTGTTGTCGTTGGTTTATATATATTTCTCTTCTCTGTTTTCTTTTTTTCACTGTTTCGTTAACAAATTAGCTTAATAAACATGATCAATTATCACATTCGTGCAGTCAACAAAGGTTTTCTATATCTTTTTTTTTTATGTCACCAAAAAAAAGTAAAAAACAATTACAAGAATCGTAGCACCAAAAATAATAATTTTCACATGTTAATAACAAAAAAAGAATAATTATCGTATACTTTAATCTGTTCAACTGAGAACGATAATTAACGGCTGACATGCGATGCGGGTAGAAACAGGATAAAGCATCTTACGCCACGTGTAAAGAAGTCTCAGGTATCTTCGTAATTTAACACGAAATCGATGTCGTAACAATAAAACCCCTTCTCTCGCCTATAAATATACTGAGCCTCTCTCTTCTTTCTTCCTCGTCGAGTTGAAGAAAAAAATCAAGGGACCCAGAAAAACCCACAGAGAACAAAAAAGAAAAGAAAAAAAAAAGTAGCGAAATAGAGAAGTTTGAATCTGCAGATTTTGTCACGCATTTTCCCAGGGAACTGTTATCTGATTCCTTCTTCAGAAGTCTGAATTGACGAATTTTAACGATGAGTCGTTTAGGTCATAAATCTGTGGTTTATCACGGGGATTTGCGTTTGGGTGAACTTGATGTGAACCAAGTATCTTCAGGTCACGAATTTCGATTCCCCAACGATGAGATTCGAATCCACCATCTATCTCCGGCTGGTGAGAGGTGTCCTCCGCTCGCGATTCTCCAGACGATTGCTTCTTTTGCCGTTAGATGCAAGCTTGTCTCATCGGCTCCGGTCAAACCTCAAGAGTTAATGCATCTTCACGCCGTCTGTTTCCATGAATTGAAGGTAAGTTCTGTTGGCATTTTGAATGTTTTCCGATTTGGTAGGACTGATTTCGGTTGCTTGAATTTTGATTTGTTGTGATTACAGACTGCTGTGGTTTTGCTCGGAGATGAGGAGATTCATTTAGTGGCTATGGGCAGTAAGGAGAAGAAGTTCCCGTGCTTTTGGTGTTTTTCTGTTCCTTCAGGTCTTTATGATTCCTGTTTAAGGATGCTTAACACTCGGTGTCTGTCAATTGTGTTTGACCTGGATGAAACTTTGATTGTTGCAAATACCATGAAGTCATTTGAGGATAGAATTGAGGCTCTTAAAGGTTGGATTTCACGAGAGATTGATCCTGTGAGGATTAATGGAATGTCAGCAGAACTCAAAAGGTATATGGATGATAGGATGCTGCTGAAGCAGTATATTGATAATGACTATGCATTTGATAACGGAGTTTTGTTAAAGGCTCAGCCTGAGGAGGTCCGCCCAACTTCTGATGGTCTCGAGAAAGTTTTTAGACCCGTGATTAGACTGCCCGAAAAGAATACTGTGCTTACTAGGATTAATCCAGAGGTTAGAAGATCTATCTCTGTTGTTTTTGTATATGTATTCATTTCATCTTATCTGATTGTTTCGGCTTATCTTTTCTGGGATGTGATAGGTTAAGGTCGTTTAAGTATACATGAGTAGTCTAGTTTTAATATTGTTGGAATAACTAAGTTTTTCTTCCTGTCTGGGGTTAATTTTGATGCAGATCCGTGACACTAGTGTGCTTGTAAAACTAAGGCCAGCGTGGGAGGAATTAAGAAGCTATTTGACGGCAAAAACTAGGAAACGCTTTGAAGTTTACGTTTGTACCATGGCTGAACGAGATTATGCTTTGGAAATGTGGAGACTACTTGATCCCGAAGCACACTTGATAAGTCTCAAGGAGCTTCGAGATCGTATTGTATGCGTTAAACCAGGTCAAAACCTATTGATGTAGCTTTCTTAACTCCGTTTAGTTATCTCTTTCGTTACTTATCTTTGTGGTGAATTGTTATATATAGTTCTTCCTCCTCTGCGTCCCTCTTTCTTGCCTGATTTGATTTATTGACCTATTAGTTTTTAGTATTAAGGGATGAACCTTGTGATGTTTTTACCCAACTTTCTGTCTCTGTCTCTCTGTGAAACTCAAACGAACTATATTTTTTATTTATTTCTTGCTCTATGCATTGCAGATGCCAAGAAATCGTTGTTAAGTGTCTTCAATGGTGGCATTTGTCATCCGAAAATGGCAATGGTCATTGATGACCGTATTAAGGTTTGGGAGGACAAGGATCAACCACGAGTTCATGTTGTCCCTGCATATCTTCCTTATTATGCTCCACAAGCAGAGGCATGTTTTTTACTCATGCATTAAGCTCTGAATTAAATACTTTATCACTTAATTTTCCATGTTGGTATCTAACCTTTTTCATTCCCATTTATCAGACAACCTGTCTCGTTCCAATTCTTTGTGTAGCAAGAAATGTTGCATGCAATGTCAGAGGTTACTTTTTCAAGTAAGTTATTTTGTTTTTGTTTATGTAATGAATTCATGCTGGTTGTTCTTACTATTTCCAACATTTATGGCAGGGAATTTGATGAGAGTTTAATGAGTAGTATATCTTTGGTTTACTATGAAGATGATGTGGAAAATTTACCTCCATCACCAGACGTTAGCAACTATGTAGTTATAGAGGATCCTGGCTTTGCCGCAAATGGAAATATAACAGCTCCTCCAATTATCGAAGGAATGTGTGGGGGTGAAGTAGAACGCAGACTAAACCAAGCGGTCAGTAAAGTAAATACAATATATGGGATTAGGCGATCTTTAAGTAAAGAAATATGTTTTGGTGCAAAGCTTTTTTATCTGTTGTAAATTGTAATTTGATTTTCTGTTGACTCTTCAAATTCTGGGTGAGAAGGCTGCAGCTGATCATTCTACTCTTCCTGCAACAAGTCACGCCGAGCAGAAACCTGAAACCCCTAAGCCACAAATAGCAGTTATACCAAATAACTCTAGCACGACAACTGCAGCAGCATTGTTACCTAGTATGGATATCTGACTTAATATAACTTCAAATTTTGACTGCACAGTTACTTTTCACATTAACGTTTGTCTCTGAAATTCTCTATCTTTTGTTTTGTATCACAATCTAGAACCTAGTTTGCTTGGAGCTCCTAGACGGGATGGCTTCACTATTTCTGACGGTGGAAGACCCCTTATGATGAGGCCTGGTGTAGATATAAGGAACCAAAACTTTAATCCACCGCCCATTCTGGCTAAAATTCCTATGCAGCCACCTTCGTCTTCTATGCATAATCCGGGTGGTTGGTTGGTAGATGATGAGAATAGACCTTCTTTTCCTGGTCGACCTTCAGGAGTTTATCCAAGTCAATTGTCTCATGGAATACCAGGTTCGAGTCCTGCTAGTTCAATTTCACACCCATCCCACTTGAGGAGCGAAGAGGTTAGTTTTGCATTCGAAATATCTCTCTTTTGACTTCAAAATATGATTGTCTACGGTCTGAGAATTTTCTTGCAGGTGCCAACAGATGATGACCTGAAAAGGCAAAATCCATCACGCCAAACAACAGGTATGTTATTGTTTCAACACTTATGTAGTAAAGCTAATATTAAGAGGATTACTGTTAAATTCTTGCCTCTGCTTGGTTTCAGTGTACTGCTCTTAGATATTGATTGTGGATAGATTAATTATTGGTTTCCCCACCTGATGTATTTTCTATTTGCTGAATCTGTCATATACTTAAATAATAAGGTGGAATTTTACCTTTTGACATTTGCACTTATTCAAACTATTTGCAGAAGGTGGGTTATCCCAGAATCATTTGGTGTCAAATGGTAGAGAACATCATACAGATGGTGGAAAGAGTAATGGCGGGCAATCTCATTTATTTGTGAGTGCGCTGCAAGAGATTGGAAGAAGATGCGGTTCAAAGGTGCATATTCACATAACCATGCAGGCTATTGCTTCTTCTCAATTCATGGATTTTGATAAATTATGTACAAATTTGCAGGTGGAGTTTAGGACTGTGATGAGTACCAACAAAGAGTTACAGTTTTCAGTTGAGGTCAGGTGAATCTGTTTGTTGAAGTATCTTTGTCTAATGTTAACTTTACCATTTAAAAAAAAAAATGTTTATTTTACATAGGTTTTGTTCACGGGTGAGAAGATAGGCATTGGGATGGCAAAAACTAAGAAAGATGCACATCAACAAGCAGCTGAGAATGCTCTTCGAAGTTTGGCTGGTAAAATATCTTCAGGGAATTAACTGTGGATCTATTCACCACTTGTTTTACTCTCAAGATTGTTTTGTGTAGTGAGCACATTTAGTTACGGATTGGTCAAATCTTCTTTGTGTTGCTTTATGCAGAAAAGTATGTTGCACATGTGTCACCTCTATCTAAAGAAACAGAGAAAGATCGAAGAAATGATGAAAATGGCTTTCTGTGGGAAAGCGATGAAGCTGTATCAAATGAAGGACTTGAAGAGAAAGCACCTAAAGAAAACATTCCTGACCTGTGATACCAAGATTTAGGATGAAAGATTGATGTGGGGATGAAGACATAAGGTAAATATTCCTTACCAATGTGAAAAACCAAAAACAAGCGAAGATCTAAAAGGTAACGAGAAATAAGGGATTTTTGGATTATTAAAATATAGCCTATATCCCCCTTTAAGGAGTAGTCTCATGACTCTTGTTATTTTGGTTACCATAGAGTTTTGAGAAGGTGAATATGATGAGACCTTGCACCCAAGGCTCCACCTGAATTAGGTTTGTGTTATATATAGGTGATTGTGTATATTTTTTTAGTCTAAGATGATGGTTTTTTTTGTTGTTCCCGTTGTTGTTGGTTCTTAAGAACAGCATGTTGAACTACAATGGATTTTATGTAGTTTGATTAAAAATCCTTTAGTTTGTAGCTCATAGCCTCATACAATATGGTTAAACCAAACTTCACACAAGACACACTCGCAAAGCCCATACTCCCACGTGATTTCACAAATTACATGACATGTTACCTCATATATAAACCTTGTGTTTTCCTACAGGGGTCGTTCGTAATTTGATAATTTGATTGAAGAATTGGTACAAACTAATTAGTGTATCGCATTTCCTCGCTGCCACTAACATTTTAAACTCGTGGAGTCTCATGTTACTTATAAACTATAAAAACAAGAAACTACATGTGATTTTTGGATATTTCGATTAAACTATATTGGGTTTATAATCCATATGGCCCTCGAGATTTACGAGGATAGAAAAACGAGGTGCTCCTAAACGTACGGCGTCGGCAATTACCTGGCTCTTCTCGAAGAGCACTAGAAGTTCAAATACATATATGATAATCATGATCATCATCATTATGTAAGAAATTGAAATTATAAGACCAATCATATAATAGTCATGATCATCATCATTATGTAACAACAATGCAATTACATACATATAGGAGAATTAGATCCACGTGATACATCCTATGTACTTAACATTCCTTCTTTCTTCGTCTCTCTCTTTACCAAAATCATATGATCATACATATATACAGAGACAGCACAACATGATTCCAATCTACTCTCAATTCTCATAGATTAGAAAACGTAAAGATGAACAGAGAAGAAGGTAGCGCACCTTTTAAGAACAGTTTTGACTACCTGTCTAAAATCCATGAGGAAAATCATCTTCTTGAGGCTCTTTTGCCGATGAATGTATGCACTCAAAACTTTCGTTGAGTTTAGAAAAGTCTAAAGTTGCTTAGAAGCTTGTGAAGTGTTCTGCGTCCCCATTGGATATCATTCTCTAAAAGAACATCCGGCGTTCCAAGAGGCTCTGTCTCTAGCCGCTGCTGCTCTTCCTCTACTGCATTGTATTGCCTCTGCTCTACGCTTTTCACTGCCTCTCGCTCTGATTTATCGAATAATGAAATAGCTTTTACTTTCTCTTTCTTGATTCTTTCTCCTTTGGTTTCTTGCTTCTTATCTACCTGCAAATAGCTTTCTCGATTCATTAAATTAACAGTCTTAGATAAAGTACACAGTTTTAGATTAGCTTGAAGACATAGTTAAAGAAACTTTTCTTTTTCTAATCAACTGGGGCAACTGATATACATCGTATCAATGGAACAAGAACAGTCTTATTCTACAAATGAACATGATGTCCTAAAGCACCATTACGCAAAGATTTCATTACCATCTGCACCCGTGTGTATAACAACAGCTCTCTATGGGTTATTGAAACGACAATATATATAGCAGAGCATTTGTGTTCGAAAAGAAGCCTAGAGGAACCAAGTACACAAAAGTCTTATAGGAGAACAAAAACAAGAAACTTCAAAATTTATCAGGTTATATTACCTCCAGGAACGTTTCTGCTTTACCTTCGTTAATAACTTCCACATCTTCATTTTCCAGGTCAGACAGAGGAACCAATCCAGGGACCAAAACTGGACTTTCATCCTCGGTAAACATGGCTTCGTTGGTCACAACTCGAGCAGTCAAAGCTCCATTAGAAGTTTCCATAGTTTTCTCACTTTGGATATCAAAACTCGAATTTTCTGCAGGTTCATCACTTACGTATCCTGCATTCTCTACAACTACTGCTGAAGAGTTTTGCTGTGCAGTACCAAGCACTTCATCCCCCTCTTCTCCACGTTTTGATGAAAGACTGGTGTCAAGCCTCACGCTTTGTTTTGGGTGAGTGATATTATCTTCTTGATTGAATGGCACATACACTTCCTCAATCATCATTTGCAGATCAGCATTATCCCAGTCTTCACAAATCCTGATTGTTTTGTTAGTTTCCCATGTTTCAAGAAACCGGTTTGGACCCGGTTGCCACAAGATCTCCCCTGTCTGTGCCTTAAGTATGAACTTGAATTCAACTAATCTTCCAACAGGCAGATCCTAAGTAGAAAGATGAAATTAGATAAGAGTATAGCCAACATATTAAAGTATCTAAACTCTTACAGTATCTACATGTAGCATTGATGCATACCAGGTCTAAGGTCCAGACATTCCCATCTGACCAGTTTAGTGGTAAAGCCGTCTCCGGATCCCAGAGGCCACCAAACACAGGATCATCACCAAGAATGAAAAAATGTTCTCCAAAGACACATTCTTTCCGCAATTGGAACCTTACACGAACCGTTTTCGTAGGAGATTCGATATCTGCAGCTTCTGCGTTTACCTATAAACATGTATGTATGAACACAATGATCTGATCTGCCGTTGTATACAGAGCATAATAAAGCAAATGTAGCGAAAGAACATTGGGAAATTGAATGAAAAAAATCTAAGAGTAGTTACCTGCGAATCCATAGAAGAACGAAGCGGGGTTGGCCTAAGAGTCCTGTGCGGAGCAGAATCTAAACGCAAAAACTTGAAGGGATGAAAAGTTTTCCATGGAACACAAGGGAAAATCTCAGTTCCACAGCGAAAAATCCGTGGAGTAAAATCTTCGAGAAGGATCTTAGATGGAGAAGAAGAAGAAGAAGTTAGGGTTCCGACGCCAATCATCTTCATCATCAGAAAGTGTTATTCAGTGGGGGAAGAGACATATGTTGAGATTGTGTGCGTACTGTATGGAAACGAAAGCAAAGCATAAGTCCACGTGGCGTATGTCTGTGAACATTGGAGTTCCCCTTATACTGACAGGTCGGTGCTCACCCGCATTAATTTTATACCGTTCGATTCACGCGATTGTTTCCCACGTTACTGTAACGAACTTCCTTGGTTCGCTGCGTGACAGTAGTCAAACAAAAAGAAAAAAGCCCATGGGCCAAATTATGATTAACTGTCACTAGTTTTGGGCTTCAGAGGGAAACTAAAGAAAGACTTGTTTGTTGTAGAAAACTTCTCCTCAGCTCTCCACCACAGTGCTTGTTTTTGCAATCCTTCATTTCATTCATAGCTTTAGATCGTTGTTTAGGTCAACGAACAGCTTGGAAAGATCGGAGGAACACTGATACAACAAACTTATACGGCTGCATAAATTGCATCTCTTCTAGTTGATGTTGAGCTGATGATATTATCAAATCAACAATAATGAGATTGATTAATAATATATTTTTGGGTTGTCACGGTCAAAACTCAAAATGCTTACATACCTTGAAAAGTCGTGTGGAGGAAACTGACTATGCATGGACCAATCAAGTTTCGATATAAAAATAAACAAAGCTAACCCAACAAAGATAGTTTAATTTAGTATTAGAAAATAATAGGAATAACCTTATCAAAGCTAGAAAGATTGAAGAAACACCTTGACAACTTGTCCTACAAGAAAACTGGATTTTTTTAATACACACGTCCTTTTTCCAAACTCATGTTGCAACAACCGAAGAATGACAAAAACAAAATTTGATGTAGTTTTCATATGAACTGTTCTTGATAGTAGGACTAGTACTATTACAGTATTACTACTATTTAATTTCCCATTTTTCGTTTTCACTAATATTAATTATTTTTCGGTAATACGTCAAAGATGTCTACGTCGTGTTCTTAACTAGACAGCCCCCAAAAGGCCAGAACATGGTCAAAACAAGTTAAACGAGAGAAAAAACAGACACAGAGAGAACTCACAAGTGGTTTCTTTCGTCTATTTATCTAAAGAGCTTTTCTAGTTTCCAATTCAATTCTGCTTTTGTCATGGATCATGATATAGAGAATAGAGTCACAGTGGTGATTAATCACAGACGGTTAAGCCAATCTGTATCGTCGTCACTTTTCACCGCGTTTTCTATCAGCTTTATAACTCTGGTCTTTGTTACGACGTTGCTTCTCGTGTCTAATTTCTCGATGCAACCGCAGAGTGATTACTCAGAGGTGAAGATAGAGATCAAAAGACTGATTCCACACTTACCTCTAAGCTCTGAGACGGATGGCGAAGGGAAAACTCCGTTCAAGCAACAATCTCCTAATCTCAAAACCACAGAGAAGCTCCAAGTTATTGAGATTTTTAGTGGAGATAACTTGTCGGATAAGTTTCAAAAGAGGATAACTGAGTTTGTCGGTGATGATTGTGAAGTCAACTTCGTCATGACATGGATATCATCAACAGAGCTCTTCGGCAACAGAGAGGTATTAGCTATTGAAAGTGTCTTTAAGTCTCATCCTCGTGGTTGCTTAATGATCCTATCCGCAACCATGGATTCTCCTCAAGGTTATACAATCTTGAAACCGTTTCTTGATCGTGGTTACAAAGTTCTTGCAGTCACACCAGATTTGCCTTTTCTACTCAAAGGAACCGCCGGAGAATCATGGCTCGAGGATATAAAGACCGGGAAAAGAGATCCCGGAAAGATATCCTTAGCTCAGAATCTCTCAAACCTCATGAGGCTTGCTTACTTGTACAAATATGGAGGTGTTTACTTAGACACGGACATGATTGTTTTGAAAAGCTTCATAGGACTTAGAAACGTGATTGGAGCACAGACTCTTGATCCTTCATCGACAAATTGGACAAGACTAAACAACGCGGTACTAATATTCGACAAGAACCATCCTCTGTTACTAAAATTCATCGAAGAATTCGCTAAGACTTTCAATGGAAACATATGGGGATACAATGGACCGTACCTTGTATCTCGAGTGGCTAGAACCGTGGAAGGGTCGAGTGGCTATAACTTCACCGTCATGCGACCTTCAGTGTTCTATTCGGTAAACTGGCTCGAGATTAAGAAGTTGTTCAGAGTGCCTAAAACAGAGAAAGATTCCAAGTGGGTCAAAATCAAGCTTCTTCATATGCAGAGGAGTGGCTACGGTTTGCATCTGTGGAATAAGTTTAGCAAGAAGTATGAAATTGAACAAGGAAGTGCCATCTGGAAACTAGTGTCAGAGCACTGCATCATCTGCGAAATCGGTTCTGCATCATAGTCTTGTTTGAGTTTGTTCCATTAATCACATACTGTTGATAACTTCTTGTAATTGTATATAAGACCAAAAGCATTCACGTCCTATTTATAAATCCCTATATTAGTAAAAGAGAAGTACAAAAAGTGCTTCCGGATCGGGTCAATTTCAAAAAATTACCAGAAATTTGTAATTGGATCTTTTAAAGTTGGATAGATTAATGGGTTTGGATACATACACCCGGATACTTTCCAAATCTAATTTTAGGATTATATTATTTCCATAACTAATTATAGGATTTACTAATATTTCTCTAACTAATTTAATATAATCTATTTAAAAAAAATTATTCTTCTTTCACTTTTATTTGATGTTATTTTTAATTTATGATATTATATTATATAATATAAATATTAAATAAAAATTTAACTTTTTTTTTGCATATACTGCAATTTGAATTTTTCAAAACGGACATATAATACTCAACTACACTCGGTTAAATATTTTGGACAATGGTTTAAAATCATTATAAGTATGACCAATATTAAAACCATTGTTACATGAGCATATTTAAAATTTCAAATAGTTTCAAAATATTATAAATAATAGGTTCAAATATATAAAACTTTTAGAATTTAAAATATTGAAATATTTTTTGAAGACGTAAATGTAATTTTGGAGGCATAGTTTTTATTGATAAAATATATTATATATCAAACTATGTAAATTTTAGATAATTCACGGG